AAAAGGACAGACTGGCCCAGCTCTGCGTGCCTTGGCTAATTGAACACCCCAATTGCACTGGGCATTCTGGGGCGAATGAGCTGAACCAGCAGCTGAGGCCTGGGCCATAAGCAAGGAAGGATCCAGGAAAGGAACACTGTTGCTTTGTCTTGTTTAAATGCTCAGGTCTGTACTGGTGGGACAGGAGGCTGGAAATGGGGCCTGGGCCCTGCCTGGGGTACATTCACTCTGTTGCAAAGCCAGAGGATGGGAGCAGAAAGCCAGAGCTTGCTTCTCTCCCCCAGGCACACAGAAAAGCTTCCCCTAACAGTGTCTGGGGGGCAGTGAAACTTGCCTGGCCCTGATTTATTGGAGCAGAAGAGGGAAGAAAAGGCAGGCCCAAAATGTCAAGGTGAGGAGGAGGGAAGCCTGGCTGTTCTCCGGGCCGGAGCACGTGACTGCGATTCTCAGGCCTGGAGGGACCAGGAGCCAATGCACGTGGGAGGTGCTGGAAATGCAAAGTCGGCTGTCTACTCACCACGTTAAAAATGTCAAGAACAAGGCAGGGAATAACGGGAGGGGCCAAGTGCCTTCTGTTTTGTGGGAGGCGGGTTACAGAGCGTTAGTGGCACACGTTTGCTTTCATGTGCCTGTTTGATTGCAAGTCCGATCTGTGGTCCGCAGCAGCACAGAACAGAGAGAAAAATGCAGTACCCAGTGGCCCATGCGCTCAAGCAGCCTCGACGCCACCTTCCCAGCTCCAGAGGGCTCTCCTGCCGCTGTACTGGGGGCCATCAATCCAGGCATGCCCAGCGGCAGGGAGCTCTCACAGGCACGGCTTGTCGGTGAAAGAAAACGAGGAGCAGCGGAGGCCACACTGCCCAGGAACCTGTGTGGCCAATGACAGGAAGCTGCCGAGATTGCTTCAACTCCACATTGTTTTAAAGACACAGAGCTCTGCTCTCTGTTGATGCCCCCTGCCCTGATGCAGGGGCCCTCCTGAATTTGCAGGAGGTGAGATTTTTCTGACCTGAGGAACTCAATAATTATTACTACCAAAGCCATATCTTGCTGGCCAATAGCTAAAAATGGGCAGTGCCAAACCCAGACGCATACTGGCCACTCTTAGGAACCTGGGTATGTGGAAAGCCCATCACTGGGGGGACATTCCTAGAGACAAGGTCTGGGCTGTTATCACACTTTTACAGGGGGTATGATCTCAGGAACCACAGGGACAGCTCAGGGCAGCAAGACAGAAAAGAGGGGCTAACCAACAAAGGATTTGGAGGGGGGTTGGCATTTTTTTGAGACAGAGTCTCACTCTGTTTCCCTGAGTGCTATGGTATCATAGTTCACAGCAACCTCAAACTCTTAGGCTCAAGAGATCCTCTTGCTTCAGCCTTCCAAGTAGCTGAGCTCACAGGCACCTGCCACAATGCCCAGCTAGTTGAGTTTTTGTTTTCTATTTTTAATAGAGATGGAATTTGCTCTTGCTCAGGCTGGTCTTGAACTCCTGAGCTCAGGCAATCCCACCTTCCTTGGCCTCCTAGAGGGCTAGGATTACAGGTGTGAGCAGAGGGGGTGTTGATGAGCAAGGTGCTGCTGAGAGCAATGCAAGTTCACTCCCCCTGGAGTTCTGTTCAAAGGCTCAGTGGAACATATCTTGATTTTCCTATTAGGAAGAATCTGAGACTTTTTTTTGCCACTTCCTGTCTTTGTTGTTTAAGCACTGCTCCAGGCATCTTTAACTCTAGGGCTGCTCTCCAGTTCAGCAAATTCCTGTGACCAGAGAGAGCCATCAGGCAAAGATGCCACAGCGTGTCCATGAAGCTGCAGAGGACCTGTAAGGGGATGGATCTGCTTCATCCATCTGTGACAGCGGTCACGACAGTAATGTCTCCTCCTCCCTTGTGTGCATGTGTACAAGTATTGTTCTACCTCCCTCTCATTTGCTCTCGCCTCACCATGGCCTCATAAACAGTGAGTCCCCAGAGCGTATCGGCCCTGCTGAGCCCTGCAGCCCTGCCTTGCCACATAAGCAAATGTGACCTACAAGAAGGCACCATTTGTGGCCTCCCATGCCCCAGCTGCTCCCAGGTAAATCCATGTCACCTCCTAACTTCATAGTAACACTGGGTAATGGAAAAAATGGAGCAGGTGTCAGGAATTTGAGGTTTCTTATCTCCAGTGATTTATTTAGTTGACTCTAAGTAAGTTATCTAAACTTTCTGAAACTACGTTTCCCGATTGGTAAAACTAGTGCAATAACACATGTCCTATTTACCTCTAAGAGTTGTAAAAAAGACTCAAAGGAGCCAATTTAGGTACCTGAAAGTACCTTCACATGTAGAGATGCGACTTGCACGGCTGTACCCGGCTCAGCCTCAGCCCGATTGCACTGGTTATAAGCCATGAGACAGGGGGTTTGCTGACCATCTTCCCAAAGCTCCTTTTCCCTCTCACCCAAGGGCGATATTCTGTCCTGGGAGCACAAAGTGTCCTCTGGTCTAGAGGATACTAGGTCTTCACTCGCTATAGGTCCAGGCAGACCAAGTCGAGGAGCAGGCCCTTCGTGGAGGTCCACAAGAAGTCCCCTAGGGATGGGCCTCACAGGTATGCTGCCTCGGTGGTACCCAGCACCCTCTTCATTTGCTCTGTGTCAAATAGCAAATTCCAGAATGACTATACAAAGTGGTGACTGGGGCAAGACAATTACCCCAAATATTAGTGGGAACTGGGGAGGATGTCACTTGTGCTTTGTACCTGTCAGTAAGGCCTGAGTGGTGTCAGCAGAGAAGCAAGTGTTGTCTGGACCAGACCCCTCCAGCTAAGCCAGGGAGTGTTCATGAGTCACTGATGACGGCTGCCCTAAAGGGTGAAAATCCTACCCAATGGCTGGAAAAACTGACAACTCTGGAAGACGACTCAAAAGTTTATGACACGATCCAATCGTGTTGGAGTTGATGTGCAGTCCTGTGACAGCAGTCACATTGCCCTTTACAGTATTCAGCGTGGGCCCAGCAGAGGTCCTGGGGAGTGAGGATGGGGGAGAGAAGACCTCAGCCAGGAGAGAAGACCTCTTGTCATCATGCAGTTAAAAACAATGGAAGCAAAGAAACCAGGAGAGAAACACTGCCAGTGGGGGGAGAGGCTCAAAGGAAACTCTAAACAGTTCCCAAAATAAATTCCCACGTAAATTCCCACGTAAATTCCCACGTAAATTCCCACGTAAGTCCAACGAATGCTAATGGAGAAAAGCTACCACTCGTTCTTTCTTTTCTGCCACATAATATCCTCCCGCCGGAACAGAGGTGTTCTTGGCACTCGGGAGTAAATGTAAGGAGGGAATCAAAACACAGCGCCTGAGAAAGGAATCCACAAGCAATGTGCAGGCAGGGGCATGGTGAGAATAACTCGAAAAGACGGTTTGGTGGCAGGAACAAGGATTAACTGTCCCAGAGGGATGGGCTTCGGCTGTGGAAAGAGGGCCGAGTGAATGTGGGAAGTGCTGGGGAGACAGAGAGGGTGGCTCCTGGCCAGTCGTGGTGTAGAGGTTCTGGAGTAGAGGCTCAGCCTCCCCCTCTTCCCGCCCGCCCCACCCCCGTCTCTTTGCACAGTCCGGGAAGACCCTGCATATTGGATCCACTCGGCTTCACCCTGTGATACAAAAGCTCTCCCCTGCGAACAGCCCACACAGGAGGCCGAGAAACTTGGTACAGAGCGTGCTCTCTTGCCTCTACCTACAGTTACAACCAGAACTGCCTCCAGGGGACTTTGGCAAGTTTGACAAATGGCAGAAGAATTGAGAAGAATTTCGTGCTCCTCCAGTTCTCAGCCCGATGACACTCTACATCACGGTCAGACAAGCAGGGGCCTTTCCACCCTTTTTATCGTCTAATTCCTTGGTTCCCGTGCGCCAGCTCCTGGAGTCTATAGCACATGGGTAACTCATACCCAGTCCTCTGCCGTGACAAGAACACATTCATCACGCGAGCCGTACGTTGCCACTAAGGGCATCACTGTGTCCACATGAATCACCAGGCAGAGACAGCTGCCCAGCTATGAAATCCGTGAGTCACAGAGGACTCACACACGCCGCTGCCCACTAGTTACGCAAGCATCTCTCTCCTAGTGGCCTGAAGCTGATTATCAGCTCCTGGCTCATTCCTCATCATGTCGCTTGGAGCGAAAGCAAAAGGTGAGGGAAGAGGAAAGAGGAAGGGCAGACATCATCTCTGGTGTACCCGGGGAAACTGAGGCACAAGCGAGCCCTGTGGTGAAATGCGTAGACATGAGTCAGACGTGGCTCAGGGAATAAGCTCTTCTGAATCTTACGTGGACTATTTTCTTGCCAAACATTTCATACAGCTTCTCTGACACAACTGTTCAGATCACAGGTGTTCAAACTCTGGCCCTCAGGCCCCATGCTGATTTTGTAAAGGGTTTTTTTGCTCATCTGTGGTGTCAAATGTCACAAAAAGTATGTGCACCGAACTTTTTTTCTTTTTTTGCTAGTCAGTGCCTATTAATGTTTGTGTAGTTAATGTGTGCTCCAAGACAACTTTTCCTCTTCCAGTGAAAGAAAGAGGAAAAAACAGGTTGGCCACCTCTGGTTTAGATGCGGCAGCCTCACAACAGGGCAGCTGGATTGCAGCTGGGCCGCATTTGGTTTGCTGCCACTGTCCCTCTTCTCATCCCACCTGCAATACTTGCCCATCTCTGAATTTGATTGACCCCTTTTTTGACTGAAGCTCCTGGAGTCCCGACCTGCTCCCAGTTCTGTCACCTCGTGCCTGACGTTTCCTCCCATTTTGAATCTCTACCAATCCTATCCCTCGTCTGTCCCCAGTCCGTGTACCCTGGATGCCCAGACATAGGATTGAGGTGGGACGAAGCTTACAGAGGGAGTGCAAAACGTCCATTTTACTTATCACTTTTTAAAAGCTAAATGTTTAACAGCTGAATTTTGGGGCCATATCAAAATATCTACATGTCAAAATAGCTGCAGTAAAGTGGCTCCATTAAAATAGCTGCCTGCAAAGAGCTGTGAGTGGCGATGTCACCTGCTCTGCCACCTGACTCTGGTCCTCCTTTGCGTGGCCTTCTGTTCTGCTGCGTTCTGGTGTGTGGCTCATCAGAAGAGGCGTGAACACCAGGGCCGCTTTTTATCCCGCTGTTCCAAGCAAGGACTATGTAGGTGTCACAGATGAAATTCATCCAGAAACCAAACAGGATGCTAACGGCAGGGCCATGTGTTTTCTCCACCACCCCTAGAGCCAGCCTGGCTGGCATCAGTCCTCTCTCCCCAACCTCCCTCCTGCCCCCATCCACCCACGAGCTCTTGTTGGGTCAGAAATGCAAGTATTTGATGGTGCCAGACAGCCAGATGATGCTGCAAAGAAGAAAGAAAAAGCAAAACCAGGTTTCTAAATTAAGAACAAGGCTGGTTTATAAAAATAAATAGCCACAGCTTAGCAACGTGCTCAGAGCTCGGCTTCCCTCCATGATGAAACCTCTGTGGCTGGAGCTGGAGATGACACATAGCCCACGCCCCACCCTTGCCCCGCGTAGTACTCATCTGGAGAGCGCTGACTGGCACTTCAAGGGCCCACTCCTCACCCCAGGCCAACCAGGGGCCAGGCTCCAAAGGGCAAGAGGGAGCCAGAGCTTCTCAAAATTAATGAGGTCCATAAACACCTACTGACTCTTGACAATAACTAACTCAGCTAAAGCAAAAGCAGGTAAAGTTTCTTGGGGAGCTCTATTGAAACAAGGGCTCTTCCTTGAAGCCGTGTCTTCTGTGTTCAGCCCTGAATGCGGAGCACACACGCATGCACGCACACGAGGACACTCAATAACTACGTGAGGATGACAGGATGGAGGTATGAGTGAATGAATGAATGAATGATTACTGCCATCCCATCATCAATGCTCCCCAGATTCTCCAGCCCAAATGGAGTAAGTTCCAGAATCCTAAGAGAGGCGTTGCTGATTATAACATGCACCAAAGAGCCAGTGTGCCCTGGGGTGAGTGTTTAAGTCTGAACCCACAGCTGGAACGTGCATCTGGAAGTGTGTGGAGTGTGGGCTTATACTGCCCAGGGTGCAGGTGGTGTGGCTGTCCCCGTGGGAAGGGGCAGGGGATAGGGGATATGCAGTTGTTAACAATTGTTAGCGTTCCTGAACGTTCTCTCATTCTTTAGGCAGCAGCAGCTCCATGGGGGAAGTGTTGCTAAGCTGCAAAACTACAGGACAAAATAGCACATTTGCTTCTGGGCTTAGCTTCTTGGGACACAAAAAGGGAGCCCATAATGTCCTTGGGGGCTCAGCAGATCAAACATAAAAAGAATGGGCATGATATGAAAGACTGAGTCCTGGCACCCACCCTCCCAAGTCATGACTGACTAAGGCTGGGGCGGCGGGGAGACAGTGCTCACAGTACTGAAAGTAAGATCATTCTGAAACCCAGAAGGATCCGGTGAGGTTGTAAGGGACAACGCGTCTCCACCTTTTGGGAGGAGCTGCTTCTGTGAGCTTTCTCTGTGATCAGAGTGGTTGAGGACAGCATGCCAATGTCATAAATTGCCATCTCAGAGCAGGAGCCTTTGTCACAATATTAAGCAGATCAGAGAAATTATCCCGCAGCATCATTCAGAGATCTGCATTCATGTCAGTGGGAAAAAAGTTTCTTAATTAGATTCAAATGTACAAAAACATGTACCAGGTCTATTTTTGGAATAATCATCTGAAGGGGACAGAAAATCTAAACAACAGCAACAATGGTACGATGGTGTCCAGCTTTACATAACAGCACGCAACTGAAGAATGTGAATCCTCCCAGATGCGGAGACTCCTGGATTATTTCAATCCCACAGCCCCCCAGGGCAGCACAATCATGGCCCTGGAACATTTAGAGAGTGGAACTCTGAGTAGGACACAGCCCAGCAGAGGGTCAGCACACAGACTGGCCCGACTACCCCCAGATCTACAGTGACATCTCTTTGGTGGCACTAAGGGAGACCTCTCCAGAGAAAATCAACCACAGGCCTTGCCCCAGCCCTAGGAAGAGACAGTGTATTCCCTGATCCCTAATGGCCCAAACCCAGGCTCCTGCCCACTGACCGTACTCTCTGTAGAGGCTTCAGAGATCCTTGAGAACAGAGTCCAAGGGTCTTCTCTGTGGAACTCAGTTTCCTCATTCATCAAATGGGGAGAGTAGAAATTACGCTTTCTGCCTTCTAAAATTGTGTAAGGATCATGCAAAACACTTCATGTTCAAGTGCTTCTCCGTCTGCAAGCTGCTGTTCTAACAGTTTTATAAAACTGAAGATACACAGAAGTTTGCTTCTGATGTGAGGATTGAGACCTCCTTTGTTGAAAACTTTTAGGGTAGTGCCTGGTTTCATCCCAGCAGTAAACCTAATTTTTTGGAGACCCCTGGCCAACTCCTTGGGTTCACATACTCAAGACTTCTAGTGGGTTTTAAATTGTGTTTTTATAACTGCTTCTCTCCTCCTATAATCCCTTTTAAAAAGCTGGAATTCTAGAATGGCTGAGTTTCTTGTTTACTTTGTAGATGGAGGCCCAGAAGATTAGGCACTTGTCCAAGCTCACCTGTCCTCAGCTCCCCTAGCAGCCTGGTGAAACCTGCCTCCAATGGATCTTTAAGGGCCACAGTTCAAATTCCACCCTTTTGGAGCTGGGATATCCATCTTCTGCCTAGGACACTGGAGTTCCAGGTTCTCAGGGCTTTGGACTTAAGGGTTTATAACAGTAACCCTGCTGGTTCTCAGGCTTTTGGCCCTGGACTAAATTACACCATGGGCTTTCCTGGGCCTCCAGCTTGAAGATGGCATATTGTGAGACTTCTCAGCTTCTATAATTGTGTCAGTCAATTACCATAACAAATCCCTTCATAGAAAGATAAATCAATAGGTAGATATAGATTGATTGATTAGTTAGATATTCTATTGGTTCTCTTTCTCTAGAGAACACTGACTAATATAGATTTTGGTGCTCCCCTCCCTGGGTCAGTACCAGTGAGTACCTGTTACTTCAGTCAGGTGTGTCTTTAGGATGTGCAGGTGGGGAGCAGAGGATGGCAGACATCTGAGGGCAACTGGTTATTAAAGAATGGCAGTTAGGGAACAGGCACCTCTGGTGACCATGACGTCTCATCTTAACAGATTACATCTTTGGATTTGCCTTTCATTTTTGGAAAATGGATATATAATCATTTCATTTTTCTAGTTATCCCTGATAATGTGCATCTCTCAGAAAGGATAGATTACATTCATGAAAAGCATAGATACACCTAACATAAGTTGTAGTCCAGTTGTTTTAGAAAAGGGTGTTAAGAAGGGAACTATGGTTTGTTGAGTGACAGTGCTTCCACCATCTGCTCGCTTTCTTCTCTGCAGATGACCTTATGTCTCTTATCCAGTAAAAAAAAGTTGTGATTATTTTATGTAAAATCCCCACCTCCTGCCCCTGCACCTACCTACTGATATGAGGCCAAGGCTCTTCTCCTTCGCGAACATACATACTACCTACCCTTATGAGTAAGGGTCTTTGGTTCTGCCTGTGACTGTAACTCTACTTGTGTGCTAGGCTTAGGGTGATCAGTCATCCTGGTTTGCTTATGGATTACTGAGACATAGGACTCCTGTTGCTAAAATTGAGAACATCCCCGGCAGACCAAGACAAGTTGTTCATTTCAGTAGTTCATTTCAGTTGCTCTCTCCTAGGGACATTTTCAAACAGATCATGATTGAATAAATCTATACCAAATAGTACCTGACTGCTGTGTGAGTCTGGAATGAAAGAATGATAAAATGTGGTTATTTTAATCCATGAGTAAGGGGAAAAACTAGGAAGATGATATCCTACTATCCTGAGCAAAAGAACAGAAAAGTTACATTAAACAATTTTTATGAATGACCTAGCAATTGTGAATTAGGCTGCAATGAACATTCTGGTACAGATATCTGTATTGTAGCGTGATTTTTGGTCTTCTCGATATATACCTAGCAGAGGAATTATAGGATCAAATGGCAGATCTATATTTAGTTCTCTAAGTGTTCTCCATATGACTTTCCAAAAGGGATGCCAGTTGACCCATGAATGGATCAATAAATTGTGGTATATGTACACCATGGAATACTATGCAGCCATAAAGAAAGATGGAGACTTTACCTCCTTCATGTTTACATGGATGGAGCTGGAAAATATTTTTCTTAGCAAAGTATCTCAAGAATGGAAGAAAAAGTATCCAATGTACTCAAACCTATTATGAAACTAATTGTTAACTATCATAGGAAAGCTATAATCCAATTGTAGTCCAAGAATACAGGGAAAGGGGAGAGGGAGGGGAGTGGAGGGAGTAGGATGAGTGAAGGGAGGGTGATTGCTGGGACCACGCCTATGATTTATCCTATAAGGGTACATGTGAATCTTTCTAAAGGTCAGATATAAATGTCAACACAATGTATCCCATGATAGTATTAATGTGCAAAAATATGATTTAATTAAAAAAATATTTTTATGAAGATATAGGTCCTATTCATCAAAAGAAAAAGGCTTGATGGTAAGTCAGGGTGATCCATATTATATAAGATCAGCAGTGCTTCCCATTTTTCCTTTATGTCACCCATTTTTATAAAAATTATATCATCTGTAATGCAGGTTAAACTAAGGGAGAAGTTGTGTGTGGCCACAGGTGACCACCTGTGGAACCTCATGACCTCAGAAACCACTCAGCCCCTCTGAGGACTGAGAAAGTTGGGGTCTCAGCTCACATGTGAAACGCAGACCACCCATCACTGCGTGGCTGGCTGGGAACCTTTGAACTCTAGATGACAGCACTCTGGCCTAAATGTGCAGGTCTAGACTCTTACTTGATCACAGCTCTGACATATTGATCCACATTCTTCCTAGGTTTCTGGTGAAACTGTCAAATTTCATTTCTTGTGAAACAAGCAACTCTCTCTGATGACCCTTTATTGCAAAGCTTCCTCAAGGGGCATTTCCTGAAATGGAGCTGGTGTGGCTTCCTGTTTACATTTCCCCTTCCTTGATCCAGGTTTATCCCACATGTGCACAGAGTTTCAGCTTGAGCAGTGATGTAATGACTTAATGACTCCAGGGAAGAAGGAAGTATCCTATGTCACACTCAGCCCACACTCATTGATCTGAGATGGGGACAAAAACTAAAAAACTCAGGTAAACCGGCTCCCTTCAAAAAAGGAGATCTGGCAGTGCAAGGCTATAATTCCCCCACAACCACAGTCACC